GAGGAGAAGACAAGTACTGTGCTACATCTTTAGAGTCCTTGATTGATCTTACTGTTTCAAGGCTAGGAAAAAAGATGCACGTCCTGTCAACTGAGGTTGAGAAGGAGACAAAAGTTGAAAAGTTCACTATTGGCAAGGGCATGAAGAAAATAGGAGAGAAGGAAATAGTTTGTCACAAGTTGAAGTACCCATATGCTGTGTTTTTCTGCCATTCACTGGATAAAACAGATGTGTATAAGGTTCCCTTGATTGGTTCTGATGGGACCAAAGTTAAGGCGACAGCTGTATGTCACAAAGATACGTCAACTTGGAACCCCAGACATTTGGCATTTCTGGCCCTGAAAGTTAAACCAGGATCTGTGCCAATTTGCCATTTCCTAGCCAAAGAAACCATTATTTGGGTTCCCAACTGAAGTTCTGAAACATCAGCACAAGGGCTGTCTTTGTTTGGATGTTTACAGATGAATAGGTTATGCAAAATCTTAAATAAGTTGAACCTCTCATCTCCTTGTTCTAAGTATGTTGTCTAAGTATGTTGGCTGCTTGTAAGATTTAGGTTTTCTGGTTTGGAAAATAAATGTCAGGATCTCACTTATCTCCTGGCTTGTTACTGTATTTTCTCCAATGTGCTACTTATATGTCCTTCCTAACTTTAGCACTTCTGCTTCCGTAATGTATGTAAAGCCAGAGAAAAAAAAAAAAAATGTGTTGGTTTTAGAACTACTCATAATCTTGATCCCTAATTCGCATTCAAAGGGTACAAATCAATAGAGCATATAGGAGATAAATAGATGGTGAATTATGTTTACTACAGGCAACGTAGCAGCATAAAAATAAATATTAAAAATCATGGGCATTTAGGGCCTCCTTTCTTGGTCTTCCAGTTGTTATAGCAAGGGCAAGACTGCTTGTTTCCATATGTTCCAGGAGGCACACACAGGCATTTAGCACAGCATTTTTGACAGAAGAACATGCACGGTTTCTTATATGCTGTAGCTGAGCATCTAGCAGTACACCTTGGAGCACATTCTGCAGTATCAAAATGAACATTAATAAATCCAAACATACAAAACATTGCAATTCTTTATTAATTGCTAATTACTTCATTCATAACCAACCTTGAGGATGAAGACTGCCTTGTGTAGCACCATACTGCAATTTTAATCAACTTCAGAACTTTAACGTGGTAACATAACAGTTTTTCACACTAAAAGAGATGATGTACCATGGCCTTACCATTGCATAGTTGCCTTGTTTCTGTCCCTGAGAAGCTGAATTTCCAGTGCCAGAAGCCTACATTCCAAATTACAAAACTGCATTCAGTATTTCAGGAATCATAGTTTGATTATGAATCATGGGAAATTTCAGTAATTCCTACCTGGATTTCAAGTGAAACAAGTAGCAGGAGAAAGCATAACAAGATAATGCCTAGTGTTTTAGCCATTCCTAGTGAAGAACAAAGTGCAGATACTAGTGAAAAAGGATAGAAACTTATGAAAGAATTGGGAAGGGAAATGGTACTATTTATAGATAGACGGTCTCTTGCTCTGGTTGATCCAGTGCTTGAATTGATTGTAAAAAAGTGTTGAAGTCCAGAACAAAACATTGTTTGGTTGCCGGGAAAAGCAGAGCATTCTGCTTCAAGCAAATCTCAGGACTGCCCTTTTGTGCCAAAGAGCACATGGCTGTGTTTCATGGTTTAATCGCATCTGTTGATGATAAAATGGTCCATCGCAGTCGAGAAAGAAAATGTAGGGTCCAATCGCATGTGCATGTAGAAACCAATTGAACCCTGTGAGGCCCAGCAACATGTGCCCAACCACATGCACATTTACTTCAGATTTGGACCTCCCATATGCTCTAACCACAAGTGTACCCAAAAACAAGCTGAACCATTGCTTTTGACCACCAGCTTGCATAAATCACAAACTTCCTTACTCTTTTTTTAAAAAAAAATTTATCGATTTTTAAAGTGAAAAATGCCATAAATTATGTTTATGGTCCAGGCCTACATAAAGGACCACAAGTCACCTAAAAAATAAATTTTTTATAAGAAAAATTATACTTCTTTAAAAAAAAGGAAAATGGAAACAAAATGGCTTACTAAAAAAAAAAAAAAATGGGATTAGGCTTAGGTTGTGGGCCTGGATGGCTGCTACAAATTTGGGTTCAATCTTGATAGTTTTTTAACGCTGGGTTAAAGGAATCGCAGCCCAAAAACTTACGGCCCAAAGAAACTCGAAAAACTATTTCTTTCATTCAGGACAGGTCGCAAAACCCTGCATGCAAATCCCTCACTCGGACACGCTCTGGCTTTCTGCGTCGCTGAAGAACGTCGAGAACAATGAGCTGGAAGAGTTTTCTCCTCCGCATCGGCGACAAGAGCTCCGAGTACGGCTCCTCCTCCGACTTCAAAGATCACATTGTCTGTACACTTCTCTTTCTGTCTCTGTATTTTCTGTGTAGTTTTCCTTTTGAAAACCCTAGCTGCAGTGTTTAGAGCAGTGCTTGTTGTCGGCTTATGCTGAAACTGCTGCATAGCGCTAACGTGACCGATGAGTTTCCGTTCTGTTGAAATCGCAGGAGACGTGCTTTGGAGCTTTGCGGCGTGAGCCGGAGCATTCTCCCGACGATGTTTTGGCTGTAAGCTTCACTTGCTTTCCTCCGTCTGCGTTTACGCTATGGTTTATTGACTTTGTTCCCTTTTTCCTGGCAGTTCCTTCTCGAATGTGCGGAGCAGTTGCCCCACAAGATTCCTCTCTATGGGACAGTGGTAGGGCTCTTCTACCTCCTGTTGAGAATCAGCTAGAGTCTTCGAATGGCTTTCCGTGTGCTCTTTTTCTTTTTTCGTTTAACTGATACTTCCTATTTGCTCTTCCTTTCTCTCTTTCACAGGTTGGTTTATTGAACTTGGAGAATGAGGATTTTGTTATAAAACTAGTGCAGAATTTACAAACTGATTTTCAGGTTGGCTAGACTTTAGCTTCTGTAATTTCTTTGTTCCTCTTTTGAAATCCTTTATTGATATTTCTTTCATTGTTTTATACAAATATCTTTTTCCTGTAATTACTCATTTGCCTCTCGTTTTTTTTCCTGCTCTGTTTGTGGTGGATTTTCAGGATGCATTAGATTCTGGGAGTTGTGATAGAGTTCGCACGTTGATGCGGTTTCTTACTGCTCTGGTATGTGCAATACTATTTTTGCTATTTCTGGGTCTGTAATGTAATGAAAACGAGAATAAACAAATTATTTCTATGTTACTGGTTTTTTCAAGTTGCTGACATGTGTTATCTGTATGCTGTGGTAAAACAACATTGATATGTGGTAATTGTACATCACTTTGGTTTTCAAGAATAAAGGCAACTTTGTAATTTCTGTTCTGCAGATGTGCAGTAAAGTTCTCCAACCTGCTTCTCTGGTGGTTGTCTTTGAGACCTTATTGTCTTCAGCTGCCACAACAGTAGATGAGGAGAAAGGCAATCCATCCTGGCAAGCATGTGCCGACTTTTATGTAACTTGTATTTTATCCTGTCTTCCGTGGGGAGGAGCTGAACTTATTGAGGTGATGCTTTGCTTAGTGTTGGATAAATAGTTCCTTTTAGTCAGTATGTTCTTTCATGCAGATAGAACATCATAACTTTTATGGATGGGATAACTGTTTTGGGAAAATCAACATGAAGTTTTCTTGGCACTTACGCTATTGGGGTTTTGGTAGGTTCATTTTCTTTCTGCACCTGCATAGCTGGCTTTGTTTAAAATGCATTTCCTTCTGTCTGTTTCTTTTCTTTATATTCTAAAAAATTAATTTCAGCAAGTTCCTGAGGAGATCGAAAGAGTCATGGCTGGCATTCAAGCCTATTTAAGCATTAGAAGTCATGTTTTAGACACTGGTTTATCATTTTTTGAGGGTGATGAAACTGGAAAAGATCTTGCTGAGAAGGTAATGGTTTGAATGTGCAATTTTTCCTCACTGTTCCAAATTAAGATCTTATGTTATGTGGTGGATATGCATTGTTATGGTTTTCGGATTTTGAGGAATGTATCTATTCTTTGTAGTAGATAAGGATATCCATTGCATATCTTGCATGCCAAGTCCAGAAGGGCTTTAAATTATATTCTTGTTTTTTTTTTTTTTTCTGTTTTAATGTTTTTGTATTTCTTTTCTTTTCAGGATTTCCTTGAAGATTTATGGGAACGGATTCAAGTCCTGTCTAGCAATGGATGGAAACTTGATAGTGGTAAGATTAAATCTTGTTACTGTGTTGTTTCTTTTGCCTCATTCTTCTTATGGATTTATCTCTGGCTTTTGCAATGTAGGCTGAGTCATTTATATTTTTTGATACTGCTGCTGTTGAAAGTAATAGAATATTCTTATTTTCTTGTTTTACAATGTTTGGTGTGTGATATGGGTTGTTTGGTGTAATATTCTTGCGGCAACTTGCAACTTCTAGCAGAAGATTATATATGCAATAACAGAATAAAATAGAAAATGAAATCTGGGGTTTCAAGTTTTGCCCATTATTTTATTATTATTATTTTTTGATGAGATGTTTTTTATTGTTGATCATGATTGAAGATGAATGCTAGTTTGTTGGTGTTTTCTTTTCCTACCAAGGTGTGTTTCACCAGAAAAATGTTAATTGCTTGCTATTTGGTAGATTTGTTACTGATCATTATATATGTTTTTCTTTTCTATTGCCCAGACCTTACCTTTCATTTGAAGCCCAGCTAGTTGCTGGAAAGTCTCACGAATTTGGGGCCATCAGTTGCCCTGAGCTGCCTGATCCCCCTTCAACACTCTCTGAGATAACATATGGTGAACAAAGGCATATTGCAGAGCTGAAGTATCCTCAAAGGTTGCACAGACTTAACATATTCCACACTAGTAAAACTGAGGTAAGTACCATCTGAAATGGTATTTTCCTTGTAATACAGGATTACTCTTTGCATTCTTCAATTCTTGGGTTTTCAGCCATGAGGTTGTTTCATACCTTAATATTCTCAGATTCAGTTTTCGATAGTTGCAGCTACAGTGAAGATAGTTCTTGTGGAGGGACATCTAGAGAATGAGTTAGATGAAGAATCCAGTTTGCTGAATATACAGTTCGATTTAGCACTTTTTGCTCTTTACAAGTGCAAAAAAGTCATATATATATATATATGGTCGGCTGATTCAAATTATCATTCCTGAAAGTAATATCATCCCCAGCTATTGGACCTCAGAACATCCAACTTTTATTCTACAATTATATTTTATGATTATAATACAATTATACATGAGGATTAGAAGAAAAGAAGATAAAAACTTACAGTGATGTGTGTCTGCACCATTTTAACTTGTTTTGTAACCTTATGAGTTTTTTCAAATAAAAAATGAAAAAAAAAAAAAAAATCTGAACCTGTGGCTTCACACTTTGACCAGGAATGAGTATATGCGGTAATCCTTTTCTCTTTCTATATCTCTAGTCTAATTTCCCCTCCCACTCTCTTGCTCTCTTACTCCTTGTATTCTTTGACAGGATTTGCAGCCTATAGATCGTTTCGTTGTTGAGGAATATTTGCTTGACGTGCTTTTGTTCCTGAATGGCTGGTTTGTATACAACTTGACTCTTCACTCTTTTATTTTTTTGCTATAGATCAGCTGCTAGTGTACTCTTGATGTCTTTTTTTTTATTGGTATTCACTTGTGCCTTGTGGATGTGTTGGCCCTCTTGAGTCAAGTCATCAGATTGATCCCTCTCTCTACGTATATTCTGTCTTTTTTTTATTTGGATTTTACAAGTAATTCCTTTTGTTTTGCTTTCAAAGATATTTAGTCATTTTGATATTATTTACTTTTGCTTCTTGATTCATGCAAAGCTAGTCGAAAGGAATGTGCTTCTTTCATGGTTGGCTTGCCTGTGCCCTTCCGATGTGAGTATCTTATGGCTGAGGCAATATTCTCTCAGGTAATAAATTATACTACATTTATTCTAAATTTTTTGTAAAAAAATGTGGATGGAGTGAGTGAGAATCAAATTTATTGTAAGGTTCTCTGGTTTGCTTTCTCATTCAAATTGTTTGATTTATAAATTGTATCCTTTATGCTAGCCTACTAGGACTACAATTGATTTTGTGATTACGGACTAAAAAAAAATTGATGGTGAAGTAATTTTTTCTTTTATCAGCTTGATGGTGAAGTAATTGATTTTGACCATTATGTGCCAGTGCCATTGCTTTAATCATGTTGGCATATTTATGGTTGTGAGTTGATGGAGAAATTTTAGGAGGTTCCTTTCATAAAAGAGGTTTAAAATTCCTATGTGGTCTGGTCCCTAATGTTCTCTCTTCTTATATCCTTTCCTCGTCGCTACCTCTAACCATAATGATACTTTGTGCAATGACCATAAATTTATCTGACCTTGGAAAATGTTGATTAATTCACAGTTGCGATAGGGTTTCCAAGTGAAGGCTGAGTAATTTTCTGCAACATTCCCATACCTCAGTTTCTAGTTTGGAAAATGTTCTTAGATTTTCTTCCCCTAATTTTAGAATAATATTTATATTTTGCATGTCCTTTGACAATGCTAGAGTATCTGAAGTGGAACTGAACTGCCTACATCAATTTTGCAGTTACTTCTGTTACCACACCCCCCATTCAAGCCACTTTATTACACACTGGTTATTATGGACCTCTGTGAGGAAGAAGAAGATTGAGTGATTGATCTATTCCAATGTGAAGAAAAGGGGAGTTGTTTGTTTGTGCAGCGGTGGGCCCCACTTTTTTTTTTTTTTTTTTTTTCAATTCATCTGCCTCAACACCTTCAACCCTTACGTCTTCTTCATTGGAAAATTTCGACACATTGGAAACAGAACTATATTCTTCATCAATGCGGTTGACATGTGATGAGCTAAGTTTACTTGAAGAGAGATTCTTAGTTACTTTAAGTAATGTAATGATAAAAATTAAATATGATAGTAAATAATTAAGTATTAAAATCAATTAATTCTAATTTTATTTAAACAATTAAACTTAAATAATTTGAGTAAACTAATTAAAGTAAAAACTAAATTGATTTTAAGTGAAACAAAGAATTTGAATTATAAGGCATTTAGTTTCATCATATTTAATTAATATAGAATTATAGTCAACTAATATAAAATTTAGATTCTTTGGGATGTCAATGAGGAGGCAATTCTTCATGAACTTTCTAGTATTAGCATGGATAGGTTACCTTTGATTGGATTAGGGATTAATTTCAAGATGTGCAAAAGTTGAATTATAAACACTTTGACAACTAAAACAAAATATATGAGTATATATATATATAGAATTTAGAGTAATATACTTTCAAAATATTTACTATTTATGTGGCATGTCTCGTCCCAAAATTAATATCTTTTGACTAAATGGTTGTTGTAGTGTGGTTTTAGATGTCGAATTCATAGAGAAGTTATATTAGACCCACAAAAAGAGTTATTATAATGAGAAATTAAATTAAAAAATGATTTTTAAAATTAAATAAAATATAATAATTATAGAGGATTGAAAACAATATTATGATAAAGAAGATTTCAGAGTTTATTTAATTGATTTATTCAACTATTGTAAATTTTGATTCTCATTTATTACTTAATTGCATGTTATATCTCAAACAAACAATCAAAAGATTTAACTTTAAAAACCAATAATAATAATTAATGTATTTATTTTGAAAGAAATTAATTTTAATAAAAAATAAACTGATTTATCTTTACGAGTTATCAAAGAACAAAAATATATCTAATTAACAATATTACAGTAAAAGATCAACCCGTAAAACAAATTTATCAATCAGTTATTTCTTACAAATTACATATAAGAAGAGTATGATTAATTTTATATAAATTTTAATAAATATAATTTTTAGAGTTTTTAAATTTGAATAATTAATAATCTCTTAAAAATAAAATTAGACGATAAAATTTATTAATGAATCAAAATAAAATAATAAATTAAATTTTTTAAAATTTAATTGCGTTCTGATATATTTGTCTAGTAATAAAATAAAAACGTAAGAACAAGCTCGCCCGCTCCCTTAGTTCTGATTTCTGAACATAGATGAGTATTTATAGTATTTTAAAAAACCCTAATCAGGATGGTTGTAGGGTCCACATCAAAATAATTAGGAAAGGTATGGTCTGGCTGAAAATCGCATAAGGAGTTAACACCCTCAATAAAGTGCCGGCACCTTTAGCAAGGCGCTAACCCAATACCCCGTGTCAGGTTTTTGGCCTTTTGCGTAATTTTTGGTTAATGGCAAAATAACAGTCCTGGTCCTTAACTCCTGGATTTCGCACAAGTTGATCATTATGTTTCTGATGGCTCCTTAATAAAAAATAGAAAAAATCCCGCTAGAGCCTTCAAACTTCTAAATTTGATCATTGGAGTCTCATCTTTTTGGCTCTTTGCATTTGAGTTCTTTTCTTAATTCCCTCAATCTAGTTATCAAACCTTCAATCACCAAAAATTTGTACAACATAAATAAAATAAAAACACTTATAAAATTACTTGTAGAAAAATATAACTTTTAAACTCATAATTCCACAAATGTCAATTGTTAAACAAACTTTAGATATATATTTTCATGCTTTCATCATGACAGTAGGATCTACTAGACTATTCAATATTCTTTATCAAGTTATATTAAATACATTATCATTTATTAACTAACTATATTTATGTTTGAATTTAACTAGATAAAAATGTATTATATTGCATTAAACTCTTTAGCGTAAAAATTTTTGAATCCACTTATCACTAATATTGTACAAACCAAGTTGATCCATCTTTGATTTTTGTTCAACTTATGGTATATATTATTAGAAATTATTACATAAAATTTATTCTCGGTCTCAATTATACTTTCTAAATCAATGTTAATGGTAGTAAATCATTAAAAAGTATTGAGAACAATAATATATATTTTACATGAAATAATAAGTTTTAAAAAGTATAAAAATTTTATATCATATTAATTAAGTTACATCATAACCTTAAATGGTTAAATTAATTTATGATTAAATAAAAGAAAATCAAATCTCTTATGGTAAATATAAGAATAATTGATGTCATAAGCAAAATCTAAGAATAAATCAAACTAATTTGACATTATAAAATCTCAAATTTTGATTTTTTTTTTTTATGTTAGATTTTTCGTGACAATATCTCTTCTAGTTTCCTAAAGAGCTCTTCAAGTCTAATTTTAACTGGAAATTTATAGAGTTTAAAAAATTATATTAGAAAGGAAGTAAGACTCATTGTTGTTGGTATCGTTTTGTATCTATCGATATGGTTGGTACGGTCGATACGTACCCATTTTTTCATTAGTTCAAAATGGTACATGATCCAATTTCGTTTCGGTCAAATTTCATCCATTTTTGTCAAATTTTGGGGTGTCAGCCAATACACGAAAAATGTGTCGATACAAATCAATTGAAATTTAAAAAGGGTAAATTTCATTTTTGGTCCTTAATTTTAATGTTTTGCATAATTTTCATCTTTAAACTTTTTTATACATTTTTTTGTCCATTAGCTATGAAAAATACATTTTTTTAGTCATTTTATTAGTTACTCTGCTAAGTTTGTCTAAATATGCACATTGAATGTTTAAAGAAAAAAAAGAAAAAAAGTATGAATATTTTATAAAATTAATCATTTTAAACTTGTTTTTAATTTATAAGAATATGATGGTTTTAAATATTAGTTTCTTTTATCATTCTTTTCAAATTTAATATTTAATTTATAAAAATATATATTTACAACGATAAATGCAAAACAATACGTAAAAAATTTTGATATATGATATGTATCATTTTAATAATAAAATCTATACGTATAACAAACGATATTAACAACTTTAATATGACCGGCAAAGATGGACATTTTTAAAGCTGAAAGAACTTAGAGTGTGGATACACATACCTGCCAAACTGCAAAGTCCATAAAGTCCATAAGTTATAGGCGCTTTTATTTACTTCACCCGGCACCTATTTTCATAAGGCTTAACTCGTAGTCCTCGAAACCCGTGTTGGGTTTTTGGTTCTTTTGCAATTTCTTTAATGGTGAAATGGCAATCTAGTTCTCAACCTTCTGAAAATGAGTACTTGGATCCTATAAGTTAGACTTCATTCATTTAGGTCCCCGAATCAACCTTTCTTCTCCTTTATGTAGTCCCTAAACTTTCAAAAGATATTCAATTAAATCCAAAAATTTCTATTATCATGCATTTCAAAATAAAAATTATGTAAAATCAATAGAAAATCACATCTTATCCACCCAAATAACTACAAAATCAAGCCTAAAATAAAAGATTAAAGCATATAAAATGCATTTCATCAATATGCTATAAAACCAATTATCTATATGTTGTAAATATCAATTATCTCTGCTTTTGTATTGTTTTTGTATGTAAAAGAAGCTATATTGATTAACAGTTAGGCAGCTTGGTGTTATGGATGCTTCTATGCCTATTGAACTTTATTGAAAGTATGTGTTCCCAAGCACTCCAATGCCCAAAAGCTTGCAAGATCTTCTTTGTCTTGGGTTGCTCTTGTTCTTAGTTGAGAATATTGAAGAATTAGAGTTAAAATAAGAATTTTTTTTCAAAAGACATATATATAATGTTCATTTGAGAGAAGTTTCTAGATTTTATTATAGATACTAGTTAGTATATCATCTGATTTAACACATTGCACAACAATTATAAAAACATTTTACTATATAAATAAGAAAAATACAATAAGAAAAGAAAATTTCAAAATACAATTTGTAGACAAAAAATTTTCTTCAATGGTTAGTGTGGTGTTTCTACAAAATTCTGTTGAAATTCCTTTGTATTTTATGTTTTATTTTTCACTTTTCAAATTTTGTTAAATAATGTTTAAAGAAAAAAATTATTATTCCTATGGCAATTATTTTCAATATAAATGTGTTTGTATTTAGTTACAAGTGATAGATAAATTTTGTTTACCAATCTAGAAAATGAAACTCACTACCTATTTTAAGTAATATAG